TGACATACACAATAACAAGTTCCCAAGAGACTCACAGAGTTAGTGAAGTACCGAAGATTGTTTTTGTCAGATGTTGCTGACCGCATAAGCCCATCCTTAAACACCTGCATTGCCAGTGCACAACATAATGAAGAGTAGGTTTGTAATGAAGTTGCAAAAGAGAAAGTAACAAGAAGAGAAAGGGCTAGCATCCATACCTGCTTTCGGTAGATTTTCTCCTCCACGGTTCCGGCAGTAATGAGTCGATACACCACTACATCCCTTGCTTGGCCAAGACGATAGGCCCGGTCAACACTTTGATTGTCCACGCTGCAAGGAGAATAATCATCACTTAGTCGTTCTTCCATAAAATCAGAGAACACAGCGCAGAGACACTTACCTCGGATTCCAAGCGGGGTCCATGATGATCACACAATCAGCAGCATGAAGTGTGAGTCCCAGGCCACCAACCTTCGTGGTCAGCATGAAGACAGGAATTTCTCCAAGTTGGAACTCCTGCCAAAAAACAACCATTTAGTAAAGCAAACTGCCAAGGGCACCAATAATTTAATAGTGGCTTCACAAATACCTGAACCCGACGTTCTCGCATGTCAGGCTTCGTATCGCCATCAATCCGGACATAACCAATGCGCAGCTTACGCATGGTACTCTGGGAAGGAATGCGACCAAGTAAGTGGGACAGCGAATTTAGGCCATATGGACCATGAAAACCTTACAGGGATTACGCAAGAAATGCACAAGATGCATCCTTACCTCCGCCATGTTCAGCAATATCTTTGTCTGCGAGAAGACTAGAACTCGATGTCCGTCATTGACCAGTGAGACCTGAAAGATATGAAGCAAAGCGTTAAGATAGAAAAGCATGGCAAGTGATAACTGCAGAGGTGGAGGGTAGAGGACTCACAACAAGCTCTTTGAACATCCTAATCTTGCACGAGGCACCAGGGTCAGCCATGATGCTTGGATCGTCAAGGAACTGTTGCACAGCGGCAGAAATAGCCTCTCCATTCTGAGAGCTTTCACGCTCGATGCTTTCCTTTACTTCTTCCAGAGCAGCCTCCGAGAGAAGGCAAGGATGATCACATATCTTCTTCAGCACCTGCAACAAAAAATCACCACGAATCATCAGCATGCTGCAGACTGGGTTACATAATGTAAATCTGGATGCTGTCCTTACAGTGATCGCATTCAATGGCGACGAGGTCTTGTTCAGAACGTTTCGGACAGCGTCTGACATTAGAAAGGTCTCGTACATATGAATCTGCCATGCAGAAAGCAAGATGGGTGAGCGCGTTGCCAGACGTAAAATTTAATTTAACATGCCAGATAAGTCCGCTTTACCTGACGGTTCGTGAGCTTCAACCAGACAATCAGGTCATGCTTCTGTGGCAGCCTGGGAAGAGCAGAACCATGACGCCTAGCGGATGGGTTCTCCTCTGCAAGAAGGCTTGGAAATATTTCCTTCTTCATGCGCCTCAAAAAGTATGGTCTGATCTTCTCACGAAGAGCCTGAAAACGCGAGCGCACGGGATCAGACTAAGCACATCAGGTAACGGAGCAAAATGCTCAATTCAAAACTTACAGCACTGGCTTCATTCGCACATCGCTTCTGGTGTCCCGATGAGTTGGACTGGCTACCATCCAGGATGCGCTTTTCGTACTGGGCTCGAAACCTTAAAACACACCAAAGACACGGATATCTCATTTGTTAAGACCCAAACCTCAGTGAAACAGCAGGAAGAAACATACGGAAATTAAACTTACTCTTTGTAATCTCCCAGTAAGCCACAGCAGCACAAATCAAAAAGCGCCCACAACTCCTGCAGCAAACGCCCGAACTTCAGTTTTGCGCAACAAACTGGAACAACCAAGTGTTTGACAAGATCTGATACTGACCTTGAGCTCATTTTGGATGGGAGTTCCCGTCATAATGAGGCAGTGGTGAAATCTTAATGCTTTCAGCACTTGGAAACGCTTCGTGCTTGGGTTCTTGGCAAGATGACCCTGAAGAAGTAGCGGTGTTGTTTTCATTAATTATACTGACATCGAATGCAAGAGCGAGAGAAAACAGGAAACCTACCTCGTCAAGGATCAGGTAGTCCCAAGTCAGACATTGTGGCGGAATATTTTGGACCATCTCGTAGGTTGTGAGCATAACGCCGCCTCTCTGCAACGCATGGGTAGATCGTCAGTACCGACGTGAACAAACATTTTGATAAAAAGCCTGCAAAATATCTCACCTCCAGAAACGATTCCAGGAAAACTGGCCTCTCCCGCACGGAAATAGATGACGTGAACCTGCAGCAGAGAGGTCGTTCAGTCACTGAAATTATACTGCTACCAAGTAGATTGCACGGGGTGACTTACTCTTTGCAGTGGCTGATGCCGACGGACGAGAATTCCAGTTTCCATTGAGGCAACAGTGTACCGGGGACCACGAGTAAAAATTGCGAAGCAAGCTTGGCCTCCAACAGTCCAGCAATGAAGGTGGCAATCTGCACGAGCGTTGACAACAACCGTTAGTATAAGAAAAACAGCAAAAAAACAGCAAAACCAGTTGAAAACTGATAACAACCACGATGTACCTGTCGGGTCTTTCCCAGGCCCATGTCGTCACCAAGAATTCCTCCTCGCTTCATCTCATGCAGACCCCACATCCACTCTATGCCTTCCTGCTGGTGTTCGTACAATCCTCGTGCGATTCTTCCAGAAACAACAAACTTTCCGCCACCAAGGATTAGATCAGCCGAGCTTGTTTGGTGTTCAACAGGTACAGAGGCAATCTCAGAATAGTCAGATTCCACTTCATCTTCTTCTTGTCCCTTCGAAGCATCAAAAGACTGCGATGCACTTTTGAATCCACTGGTGCTTTCACTCTCGCCTCTTGATGCAGCTCTCTTTGAAATTGTCGATGCAGCTGCGGCACTCCCGGATGAGTTAGACGAACGAGCTTTGTCCTTGCCTAGCTTCAATGATGTCAGCCCTTCAATCAGGAGATTTGAATCTCCTGTGTCTTCGGTCACGTCCTCCCTTGAGTCTCCAGAAGACTGTGAGCCTTGAGATGACTCTTCTGGGCCGTCCTCGTCAGAATCAGCCTCATAGGTAACTTTTGACCTACTATAGGCCACATTCTCAGCAAGTTGCTTTCCCGCTTTCTCCCTCCTTTTGTTGACGAGTTCCAATAAGGCAGCCTTTCTAGCATTACCGTCGGTCTTGGATAACGGCATTCTGCGACCAACAGGGTTAGTGTCCATTGGCGTGCTCCCAACAGTCGATGATAACTCGGACAGGCGAAAGGCAAACGGAAAGTCAGGCAGGGGGGAAGGCAAAAACTAGAGAGATTAGACAGGAACGTCTGAAGGATGGTCATGAATGAATGAGACTACAGTTTTGAGTACATGCCATGCCAAGCATGGGGCTCAATCAACAAAGAAACTGGAGAGAGAGATTTCAAATTCGCGGTTTCTGACAGAAGCTGACACATGCGGTGCCATTACATGACATGATGTGCCCCAGAGGTTGCCATCCCTGACGAGCTGGTTCGATATCCTCCCGCGCAAACCTCGTTCAGTGTTCTCAATAACAATATGTCTCAAATTAAACTGTAGGTGTACTACATTTTACAGTGCATTCTGTCCGCAAAAACAAATCGAACTGTTTCTGAATGCCATAAAAAATAGATGGGGTGTTTTTTTATCATATTCTTAGATATTCTAATATAAATTCACATGCCTCAACATATGCCATTCAATACAATAGGAAATAGCATACTATAGTATGCATGCATTGTAAATAATAATTATTTCAAATAAAATATTTTCATGCTATTATCATACTATCTTTCTGTCTGCGTTGTGCTATCTACAAATGAGAGCCTTAATAATTCTTAGCAAGCTTTATGTCATGCCTTATTTAATTCTGTTTGATTGGATAGCCTGTCTATGAAGCGTACATCTACTCACACTTCACCTCTCGCTGTGTGGATTGACCAATGGACTGCACGCTTGATCGCTGCGGTGTGATCATCCTTGCCATGCCATCACACGGAACGGAACAACCTCCACTATTGCCATGTCAAAGTAGACGACACTTGCAAGCTGTTGAGGTATTTTCTTTCCAGCTGTGCCTCTTCTTCAAATTGGGCGTGAGGAACTTATTACAAGCGGCACAACTCCGTTCCGTATAATCAGCGAGAATATTGTCATTCCACTGAAGGAAACGCAACTACTGCGTGTTTCTGTATATCATTTAGGTTTCCAGGGTATTTATGCAGCGGAAGTACGATTCAGGATAATCAAACATTCGCCCATAACAACAGCCTCCTTCCAACTGAAGCACCCCCCTCCTTTCCCCAAATTCTGCTCTGCTCCTTCTGCCGCTCCGCACACGCATGTATAACGGCTCTTCCTGGAAATCATGGCGGAACGCGTGCACAGCAACAGCAGTCTCAAAATGCGCTACGGCGTGCTGCTGGAAACCGGGGAGGTTGAGGTAACGGGAGGGGACACGGGAGGTTGCACGAGCCGTCCGCTGGAAGCAGCTCAGGTGGTTCGAATCGCCAATCTCGTAATGATCATCCGGAGCCCCCTTAGCCTCACACGAGGCCATCGCTTCGGGCATTCCAAAGGCTATTCATGCTTTTGATCGATTCACTTGATGCACTTTCCAAGGGACTCACTTTTCCAGGGACGACGAACACCCCACTCTGGGCTGGCCATTTTTTTCCCGGGCGAAAATTTAGCGAGGAATGCCCGATTCAACACACTTCCTAATATCGGGCCATCCTTTTCGTAGTCGCTTTCCTCGTTTCCAGGGCTCCTAGGCAGCTCCACACGGGTGAAATATTGTACAGCTTTGGTTGTCAGGCAGGCATGATCTCCAGTAAGCATCAGTAATGAATCCGCATCCGCCGTGCGTTCAGCGTCAGCTACGGCGTGAGCGTCAATCGCGGAACAGTCTGTTGCCCTAGAATGGAAAATTGGTGTTAGGCCTTACACACCATGTCCCCGTTCAAGCCCGTAAGGGGCGGCCAGGCACGGAAGCAGGTGCTTCCAGACATATCCCTTCTAGCAACTCCAGTTCTCAAGGCGTCCTCTCTGACCCCATCACATGCCGTGCTGCCTGAGGGTACGGCAGCAAGCAGCAAGAAGCGTACCGACCTGCAGGTCTCAGTACCGCCTCGGGCGTCCTTCTCATCGTTCTGGTCATCGAAATTCTCTCCCTTACCTGCTACCATCACATGTCCGACCGCAGAGCCAGGAGTTGACATATCGGGGCTGTTATTGACTGACCCATCGTCTGATCCACATGCCGAGAGCTCCAGTGAACAATACCGTTTGGACGAGGGGAGTGAGATAGTGACATCTACATCATCAATGAGTGGGTCCTGGCAAGCGTTTCCTCTGTCTGTGGCGTCTGCACCATTGTCATCATCCTTTTCGCCATCTTCCTACTCACCTTCATGCCTACTATCCCCAGTTTCCGCAACGGAATCAGCATCACCACCGCTCTCACCATCTCGTCGCACAACATCACTCCACGCCACCGACCCTTTCGCTGTTGAAACCGTCTGCGCGGACAGTACGGAACCTAGATGGGCAAGCGAGCGGGAACGAGCGGAGCAACTGGAGCTTGAAGTTTCTGCGTTGAAGGCGGAGATGGCCGCATCACGGGAGGAGATGTGCATGGAGAGGGAGGAGTACGAGGCTGCCATTGACGCCCTTAAGGCGTCGCTTGCCCGAATGATGCGAGAGCACTCGGAGGAGCTGCAGCAGCTGCGAGCTGCGCTGGAGGAGGCATCTGGTGTCAAGGCGTCCCCGGCAGAGGAGGCATTAAGCGCGGAGGGTGACAAGGCTGACTGCGAGCAGGGTGGTGTGGGTACTGATTATGAGGACAGGGATGTGACTGGATGGCGTGGGGCCGAGGCCGGTGCAGCAGGATGTGAAGGTCGCGCGAGTGAAGAAGATCTACGGATGGAGGATGACAACGAGAGCAAGGAGGGGGGCAGCATGGAGGACCGAGAGACGGACAGTGCAGAGGCTGGCGCTGATGTTGGCACGTACAAAGACGAGGAGTGGACAATAGGTCAAGGGAACGTGGAGTGGTTGCAGCAGAAATTGCAGGAGAGCCAAGCACGAGTGGCGGAGTTAGAGAAAGAGGTGATGGTGCTGGGAGAGCGCCTTCTGGATGCGAGGAAGAGAGTGACAGCAGGGATGGTGCAGATGGAGTTGATGAGTCTCAGCAGCGGAATGGCCAAAGTCCAAGCTGTGCCTCGTGTGGATGCGCATGTGGATATCCTTGACTGTGATGATGACTATGACGATGGTAGCAGCTGTGATGGTGGTGAAGAAGAAGAAAAGGAGGTTACCTCTGCTACCTCTGCTGCAGCAGATGCACCATCGGATGCCTGTTGCTCACTAGAGTCAGCTAGCAGCAGAGTGGATAGGGAGGAGGAGGACCATGCCTGCAAGGATGTGGACCATGCTGGTGGTGTCAGTGCACATGCAGCGGTGAGCTTGGATGCTGGTGCGCATGGCAGCAGCACGTTGTCGGGGTCCTGTGAAGCACCAGGGGTGGGAGTTAACGATGGTCCTGAAGTGAGTCCCGCGTGTGAAGAGCCTGCCAGTGCTCTTACTGATAGGAAGGTTCGGTTCAGAGAGTTTGTGCAGGTGCTTGGGAATGAGGCGGAATCTGTTGACTGCACAGAACGTATGATGCTTTCAGACGAGAAGAGCTGGGACTGGATGGAAAGTGCACGGGCAAGAGACAGGCAGAGGGAGTGGTGGCCGACAGGGCAGAGCATGAGGGAGCGACGGAAGCTTACATGCTCCGACCACAGCAACGTTTGGCAGGACTCAGAAACACATGCAGGGGATGGGTACGAGTGGGACAGCATGTATGGTGCAGAAGAGATGTTGGGGGAACAACGGAACGGTCAGCAGTGGAAGCGGAGGGAGATGCTACTGCAGCAGATGGAAGCTCAAGTGCAGTGTGTGGAGGAACAGCTGGGGGGTTACTGTTCCGACATTGCAGGGCAGATGAAGGTGGACATGCAGGCTCTGGCACAACAGCTTCTCAATGGGATGGTGAGCTGGCAAGGCTGGAAGGAGAAGAGAAAGGCAAAGAAGAGCTTAGCTGCTGATCCCACGGAAACACACGGCCAACCCCCTTGTGCTACTGTTTCTAGTGCAGATGGTGCGGCGGCTGCAGTTGGGAGCTGTGATGAGTCTTGTACAGGGTCTGGCTTTTTCCCACAGCCGCTAGACGTGTTGGCCGCCTGTGTGAGCGAAGTCATGTTTGAGGACTTCGAGTGCGACAGGTTTCAAAGAGCAGCATACTGCGAGTTCGCATCTGACAGCGAGAGGTGTGCACGCAACTATGACAAGTTCCTGGTGCAGCGCTGGAGGCGAGGGCCCATGAATCCTCTGAGGGAGCCTAAGTTCGTGAGTTTCTGTGAGAGGAAGGCCGAGAGGGTTGCTGATGTTCTGGTGGGAGCAATTCTTGCTATCTCGCCGTTGCCTTGCAAGCAGGATGCCGGGTTATCCAGGAGTGATAGCGCTGGCAGCAGTTCCACCCGCAGTAGCAGCAGCAGCAGCAATGACAGTTGCAGCATGGAGGACAGTAGTGACAGAGACTCTCCGCTAAGCGGAACAACATGGGCAACGGACACCACAGGTAGTGAAGAGGCTTGCCATGTTGCCAACAGGTGCGACAGTGGAAATAATGATGGTGATGGTCGGGTGGACGCAACATTCTGTGGCAATGGCATCTCCTCGGAGAAGTTTGTGGCTCTTGCTCGAGCAGTATGGGCGCTTCATGCCCTGGCTTGGGCTTTTCCAGAGCCCGCTCGTATTCATCGTGTTCAGCCATTTTTGCCCTTCAGCTCTTCTTTCATGAGGGCTGTGAACCGAGAGTGGGTTGTACATGGGGCGCTGCACAAGCAGCACATGGCGGCCTTTGCCATCTTGCCAGCGTTCATCATTGGAAGTACAGTGCTATGTGGCAAGGTCATTGTCACTGTACAGGAAAAATACAAATGTGTTGATTGATGGTAAGTTGGGGCTGGCAGAATTGACAGCTCTTTGAGTAGGGGGGAGGATACATTTGGGCAGAGGAGCATGGTTGTATAGATGAGATGAAGGGGTTATGGTCAAGTGCTGGGGAATGATATACCTGGTGCATATGCCACCGTTGACAGGTCCTCCCATGCCCATGCTATTTTGCATGCTACCCACTAGAATTTGGGCATGGTTATGGTTTTTTTTTTTTTGTTAAATGACGTGATAAAGCCTATAAGTGTAACTTACACACGCATCAACCGATTTAGTGAGGTGGGTGAGCTGAACCGCACCAACATAATCTTGTGGTGTATGTTTGCCTAAAACAGTTGCTGTGGTCCATGCCAACTAAGAACTTGAAATGGCACGTGTCAGTGGACCACACCACTGGCGGAGCGCGTGCTTCGAAGGCGCACCTACCCTGCTTTCCGCCAGAACACTGACAGGCTCCACGGTTGACTTCCTGCCATCGACGTGTCCACGGACGACCTCCGAAGCAAAATTGAATGGCTATGTAACAGTGTATTTCTACCAATGGGGTGTAGTGCTCGGTGGTTCACGTACAATGGAATCTGTGTTTGTTAACGGTAGAGATGCGCTTACTACAGAAGGTGACAGTTACCAGCCGTGGATGTCGACAGCGCAGATGGCGAAGTCGGTGACTATGACAGCCTCTGGTTCGTCGTCAGATTCCATTCCATCCTATCCGTTCGGACATCCGACGCGAGCCTCCACATTTCATCCTCACTGCAAGGATGATGGAAGCAGCTGTGTTGGGAGTGGTCAGGCTGGGAATTGGTGATGGGCAGATTCAAAGCAGTCACGGGAACATGGTGATGCACTGCTGGAGGAAACAGATTCTCCTTCCCGCCATCCCTGACAAGCACACCACGTGGTTTGTTGAACCCGCATATCTAGGCACTTTTCCCCCAAATATTGTCTGCAAGCAAATTCGGGTTACGCTTTCATTTCAATCCTCATTTGGTTCAGGGACACTAGTAGTTGGGTCCTTCGCTAGGTAATTTTCCACCGTACTGATTGACTACGTTGAATCTCCGAACTCACCAACACGATGCCGCAAGGACCGCATGGCAAGCTAGTGCAGAACCTCACGCTGGAAGGTCTGCTCAAGACGAAGGACATGCCAGTGCAGCTCCGATCTGCCATACGCGCTGAACACGCGGCGCTTGAAAGCCTGCGTCAGTGCCACTCAGATCTCGATCGATACACATATCTCCGCAGCTTGAGAGAGAAGGATGAACAGCTGTTTTACAGCCTCCTAATTAACAACGCTCAAGAGATCCTTCCCTTTGTTTACACTCCCACTGTTGGCGAGGCCTGTCAAAAGTACAGCCACCTCCCGATCGTCACTCGCGGTCTCTACATCACTCCCGCGGACCGTGGACAAGTGCTTGAGAGGTTGAAGACGTGGCCTGAGAAAAAGATCCGCGTGATAGTGGTGACGGATGGCGAGCGCATCCTGGGTCTGGGCGATCTGGGGTACGGCGGCATGGGCATCAGCGAGGGCAAGATCCTTCTGTACACGGTGATCGCGGGCGTGGATCCGCACCAGTGCCTGCCCATCTGCCTCGACGTCGGCACCAACAACGAGTCGCTGCTGGCGGACCCGCAGTACAAGGGCTTGAAGCAGCACCGGCTGCGCGGCGAGGAGTACGACGCGCTGGTGGACGAGCTCATGACGGCCGTGCGCGCGTGGCAGCCGCACATCCTGCTGCAGTTTGAAGACTTTGGCAACACCAACGCCTTCCGCCTGCTGGACCGCTACCGCGGGCTGCAGTGCTGCTTCAACGACGACATCCAGGGCACCGCCTGCATCACGCTCGCTGGCGTCCTCTCCGGCCTCCGCGTCACTCGAGGAAAGCTTCAGTGGCAACGCATCGTCTTCCTGGGTGCGGGCGAGGCCGGCACAGGAATCGGGCATCTGATCGCGCAGGCCATGCACAAGCGGTGCGGCGTGCCGCTCGAGGAGGCCATGCGTAACTGCCTGTTCGTGGACTCCAAGGGCCTTGTGTGCAAGTCGCGAACGGAGCTGCAGCACCACAAGCTGCCGTTCGCTCATGACATTCCGTTCCAGCCTGACCTCTACTCTGTTGTTAAGGCTTACAGGTGAGAAACATAATCCTGCCAGTTGATTTTTTTTTTTTTTTTTTTGGGACCTGTTCTTTTGCCTCCTCCCGCTCGTCCCAGCTGATCCATGTCTAAATTGTTGATCCTCTGGCTTCTTGTTGATTCTGCCTGGTATTACACAGGCCAACGATTCTGATTGGCGTGTCAACCATCGCGGGTGCGTTCACGCGCGAAATTGTCGAAGCCATGTCCGAAATCAACGATCGGCCGATCATATTCCCGCTCTCCAATCCAACCTCTAAATCCGAGTGCACGTACCGAGACGCGTACAACTGGAGCGGCGGCCGCGTGGTGTTCGCGTCAGGCAGCCCGTTTCCGCACTTGAAGACCCCCTCTGGCGTTACGATGTACCCGGCTCAAGCTAACAACGCGTACATTTTCGGGCCCGTGGGCATGGCGGCTCTGCTCACCAACTGCCGGCAGATCACGGACGACCTGTTCATGGCTGCCGCAGAGTACCTGGCTGATCTCACCCCTCAGGATAATCTCGACGTGGGAATGCTCTTCCCCAGCTTCTCGGCCTTCAAGGTAAGACAATCCGGACGATCAACTCTGACTCTTTCACCATTCGAGCCTCGAAAGCGCCTCATTTTTCGTTCAGTATTCACGCCTTTTGCCTTTGCGTGCTTTCCCTATCTCTTTCCGCATCTCCGAAGCCATCACTCACTTTGAATTCCTCCTCTTCACCCCCGCCGTCCAACGTCTTCCCCCGCTCTCGCATCTCCCAATCCCCCGGCGCAGTCGCTTGTGGTGCCGCTGGTGGCGCGCACGGCGGAGTTCATCGTGCGGGAGGGGCTGGGCGTGGCGCCCAAGGGCGTGAAGAACTGGGAGGAGGCGGTGCGCGCAGCCATGTACCACCCGTCGGGCGTGCGCTCCACCACGCCGCGTGCCGCCGCCGCCATCAAAGTGCCCAGCCACCCGGTCTCCGAGGTGCCTAGCCATTTGAGAGCGCCAGATGCGCGAAGCCGGTTGTGATTTGGTTGCTGCTTGCAGCACGTGCGGCGTGCTGGCATTGTAGGGGCTGCTTGCGTGGATTAGAGCGTAGATGGAGCGAGGGGCAAGAGAGTATGGCCAGTTTAGGTGCTGGCGCATGGCGCATTCGCTTGTCTGATACTCCTGTGAGTATGGAAATGTAGTTCACGTTGTTAAGCAATAATAAGACGCCCTAACTCTGTCCACTTTCACCCAAATTTTTCACCACTTCCTCCCACCCCAGTCAAACAGTGTATCTTTCAGTTGCCTTAGCCCAACATCTCCCACCACATTCCCACCCATCCACTATGTTCGAACACTCCTCCCACATCCACTGCCTGCATCTCTTGGGCTTCGTTCATCGCGTGCTGACACGCTACTCCATTAGCACTCCCCTGTGCCTTGTCATTCTCGTGGTGGAAGGGGCAAGGAGGGAAAAGGGGGAGATGGGGATGGGTTAATGGAGAGTCAGTGGGAGCAGGGAGAGGGGAGAATGGTTCAATAACGGTTGGAAAGAGCACCCGAGAGAATGCATGCAATCGTTGTGGTGGTCGTACCAGTGGCCTCATGGGGGTTGTGTGTGTGCTGCGCATTGCTTGGTGTGCCATGCGTGCTGTGATGCGTGGCGTGCCACTGGATGTGCTGTGCATGCTGTGTGTGCCGTGTTTGCTGTGTGTGGTGTGGCGTGGTGTGGTGTGCGGTGTGAGCAGGTGCACTGGGAGGACATGGAGGAGTTGGTGCAGCTGCGGGAGATGTACACGGACCTGCAGCGCTACCTCTTCCTCCGCAACCTGCAGGTATGGCTGCCGTGCTGCCCGCGGATGTGATGCATGCAAACAACTCAAGCACTCCGTGCTCCATGGCACATGTGGCAGGCACGGGAACGAGAGTAAGGGCTGATGCACAGATGAGCAGATGCACGGATGCAAAGAATGGAAGTACTCGCTACACTATGGCACACACATCTCTGCTTTGGTTCTGAGGTTCCCCTGCCTGAAGAACATGCTAACATGTACAGCACGTGGCACTTTGGCAGTTGATTAGTCAGAAATCCATGACATTCCATGACAATGTCAAATCTCAGTAACCCATGCGGCCACCACCAATCCGATCTCCCTCCCAATCGCTGTTGTGCACCACAGGAGAAGAACGTGCAGGCGTTCTGGCAGCTAACAATGAACAACGCCCAGGAGATCCTCCCATTCGTGTACACGCCCACGGTGGGCGAGGCCTGCCAAAAGTACTCCCGCCTGCCCATCAACACCCGCGGCCTCTTCCTCTCCCCCTCGGACAAAGGCACCATCCTGGACAAGCTTAAAGCATGGCCAGACCAGAAGATCCGCGTGATAGTGGTGACGGATGGCGAGCGCATCCTGGGTCTGGGCGATCTGGGGTACGGCGGCATGGGCATCAGCGAGGGCAAGATCCTTCTGTACACGGTGATCGCGGGCGTGGATCCGCACCAGTGCCTGCCCATCTGCCTCGACGTCGGCACCAACAACGAGTCGCTGCTGGCGGACCCGCAGTACAAGGGCTTGAAGCAGCACCGGCTGCGCGGCGAGGAGTACGATGCGCTGGTGGACGAGCTCATGACGGCCGTGCGCGCATGGCAGCCGCACATCCTGCTGCAGTTTGAAGACTTTGGCAACACCAACGCCTTCCGCCTGCTGGACCGCTACCGCGGGCTGCAGTGCTGCTTCAACGACGACATCCAGGGCACCGCCTGCATCACGCTCGCCGGCATCCTGTCCGCGCTGCGCGTGACCAAGGGCGAGCTGAACCAACAGAAGATTCTCTTCCTGGGTGCGGGCGAGGCCGGCACGGGAATTGGGCATCTGATTGCGCAGGCCATGCACAAGCGGTGCGGCATTCCTTTGGAAGAGGCGCTGCAGCACTGCCTGTTCGTGGACTCCAAGGGCCTCGTGTGCAAGTCGAGGAAGGAGCTGCAGCACCACAAGCTGCCGTTTGCGCATGACATCCCGTTCCTGTCGGACCTTCTCTCCGTGGTCAAGACACACAAGTATGCTCGTTCTCTGTCTCTCTCTCCTTTGCTGTCTCACATTCTTGTCATGTGACGGGTTGCTCTGTTACCCCAGATGCCTACTTTCGTCCTTCCACCCTCTCCCCTCTCCTCTCTTGCTTCTCTCTCCCTCTCTAATCACTCCACATCGTGTCCCCAAGTAGGCGCTTGACCCTTCTCAAATATGCATGCTGATTCGCATTGTCCTACTCCCATCCCTTGACCATCATGTGCAGGCCGACCATGCTGATCGGAGTGTCCACCATAGCAGGCGCCTTCACATCCGAGATCCTGGAAGCCATGGCGGATCTGAACGAGCACCCGGTCATCTTCCCGCTCTCCAACCCCACCTCCAAGTCCGAGTGCACCTTCCAGGACGCTTACCACCACACGCACGGCAACGTCGTCTTTGCCAGCGGCAGCCCCTTCCCCGCGTTCACCACGCATGACAAGCGCACGCTGGTGCCGGCGCAGGCCAACAACGCGTATGTGTTCCCGCCCATTGGCATGGCGGCTGTGCTCACCAACTGCAGTGCCATCACGGATGGCGTGTTCCTGGAGGCTGCGGAGGCTCTTGCGAGCAAGGTGCCGGAGTCGCGCCTGGCGTCGGGCATGCTCTTCCCTGCCTTCTCTGACATGAAGGTGCGATGCACGGGGTGTGTGGGATGCATGGGATGTGTGGAATGAATGGGATGTGTGGAATGCTTGGGATGTGAGGAATGCATGGGTTGCATGGGATGGTTGCACCGGAATGGTTCTGAACGTTTACACATCTATCCACGTTTGCTTGAGTCTGTTCAGGTGTGCAGGCCATTGCACGCATGCCCCCACGCCGTGTAGTTAATCTGAATGGTGGCCCTCGCCTGATAGTCTCCGCCAATGTTTTGACTCCTCCCGTTGCCTCCTTCTCCCTCCAACCACGCAAAACTGCAGGTGGTGTCGCCACAGCTGATAGCAGACATTGCACAGTACATGATCAAGGAGGGGCTTGGCTCCGTGCCTGCCGACTTTGATGCAGCCAGGGGCTGGCTTGACTATGTGTGCACGCGCATGTGGCACCCTGATTCGGCCTGATTTTGTCCACTCTTTCTTGGGCTTGCCTGGTGAATTTAGCCCGGCTCAACAAATGGTTCGACCACGTGCGCACTCACATACGACAACCTTACTCTGCCTGGTCCGCTCCACTTTTTCTCTGGTTGCCCTCTGCTCTTCCTGTTCTGCCCCGTCCCTGTTGCCTCTCTTTCTTAGTTGGTCCTCCTTTCATCCCTAGTGCTCTCAACTGTGAAGGTGTCGAGTGTTAGACATGGGTGCTGCTAGTTTTAATGACGGCACTACAATTTTGGTCCCTGGCATTGTTCTAAGCCTCCTGAGTATTCATATTTATGCTCTAATGAACTTTCAACACCTACAATGCTTGCATTCAGCCAAGGACAAAGGATGGAGGACCAATGGCACTTAGCTACTTATGCAGATGACTAAAGGTACATTCCTGTGGAGACACTACGAGTCGCGCCTGTAAATTTGCCAAATTGAGAAAGCTTGCTTTCTTATTCTTATCAATTGGCATCGTTCTCATTACAAATGGGCATCGTTCTCATTACAAATGGCTTATTACAACATTTGCATCAACGTTGAGCACAAGCTGGTGCAATCGAATAACACTAGCTAAGATGTACCCTATCCAAGTGGCATTAGCAAGGCGGATTACTCTGGGGTGGGTGGTGGGAGTGTTGAGTGAGCCGTTTGAAAATCGAGAAACGTGGGTGGAGGGAAATGAACTCCAACCCACGGTTTTGGTAGTTGGAGAAGGGCGTTTAGCGCGCTTCGACGATGCCAATTGTGCAGTACAAGCAGCTTCGCTTTCACAATGTGTGTTTAAAAATTATAATATGTTGTGTCACCAACAACCAATGTATCACAACTGTGAGCGACAGTTGGGCACGGCCAGGTGGTCGCTTTCTATTGGTTGCAATGTACAGGTTCCGGCCCTCAGCGTTTTCCCGCCGGGCATCGTGGCTAAACACATCATCCAGCAGCGCAGATCGCGCTGGTGCTAGCCAGAGTAGAGGAACTTGCAATTTGGTCGAGTCGGGAGGTTTGCACCAACCCACACACAAAGGCATGTACTCAACTACTCTAGCAAGTACATAACTACACGCATCAAATACCCAAATGCACCACTCCTTCTAGCAACCATGGCACAGCCTCGCGAGGTGCCATTCCTCATGCGACTTCTGGTCGCATGGGTGACGTTCTACTACAGCATCTTCCTCGACGCCGTCGCCAAGTCGGTCGGAGGTTTGTTGGAGGCGAACGTCTTCACGGAAGATGAGTCCTCGGCCTCTAGCTCACACGGCTCCAACCAAACAGCCGAGCGGAATAGAAGGTCAGGGCTTCGCCGAAGGAGGTAACACGTGCTGCTAGAGGACCTGGAAGGCATGGGGGAGGACGAGTTCAGAAACTTGTTCCGCATTAACCGCGCCATCCTAGATCACATTGTAGTCGGGATGGCGATCTACATGCAGCCGTACGTGGACAGATATCTCATTAGCCACGAGGTGGCATGCCTGGTCGCTATCAAATACCTGGCCACCGGCATGTCGTTCGTGGACTTGTCTCTCGTCTTCGGCCTCTCCAAGACCCTGTGCCACATGCTTGTTGACGCTCCGCTGATGCACTTCCCCTCCGTCTTCAAGCAGCAGTGGGTCCACTTCCCGACCCGTGACGACCTCGACGAGATGGCGGAGGAGTTCCGCGCCATCAAAGGAGTTCCTGCAGTAGTGGGGGCTATAGACGGCACACATGTGCACATGAAGGGGATGGAGGGGCACAGGCAGGAGTACTACACGCGCAAGTCATGCTACGCCGTCCAGCTACAGCTCACATGCGACGCGCGCGGAATCATTTGGGACTATTTGATCGGATACCCGGGCAGTGCACACGATCAGAGGGTGTTCATGAAAAGCGCGTTACACGAAAGCTTGCACAACGGTGTCAAATTATATATATGCTCGTTTAGGTTATCTAGGCTGTATGGGGGTTAGCACTAGGGGGTACACAAACTTTCTCGACACCCTAGTCTTGTACCCTAGCCTTCACCTAATCCATCATCCTTGCCTTAGGTTCTTAACATGGTAACTAGAGCAGGAGGTCTCTAGGACCTACGAATCGGACCCACCTAACTGCCTGCCTTGCCTACTGCTCGCGCGCGCCTCGGCTGCAGCGCGCGTCACTTATTTTTCCCGCGCTCGCCTCGGTTTCTAGCGCGCGCGTCTCTGTTTTTTTAGCGCGCGCCACTGCTGCAGAGCCGCGCGCCGGTCCGTGTCGCCCGCGCAGCCCATGTAGAGCCCGCGCGCCCCTTACGCCGCCCGCGCGCAGCCTGCTTAGGCCCGTCGCCGCACGCAAACCGCAGCCGCGCGCGCTGTCCATCCCCACGTGCAGCCAGGAGCCGCGCGCAGCAGAGAGCCACGCGCGGCCCTTAGCCGCACGCAGCCAGCAGCTGCGTGCGCCCTACTCGTGTACTTGCCTGTGAGGCTCACTGCTGCCGAGCCCACTGCCTTCGAACTGTACGGCCTGCCACTGTCTAGAGCCCCACCTTAGGAGCTCGGGTGCAGCAAGCTACTGCCCTGCACGTTGCCTGTACTGCCTACTGCCTACTGCCTCTGTCTTAGCCTGCTGTCTACTGCCTGCTGCCTCGTGTCTACTGCCTGCCTGCTTTCTGTTGCCTTTGCCTACTGCTGTTATGACGATGCCTAATGTTCTCGTGTTCGAACCTGACGGTCGCCCCTTAGAGTTCACTGTGTGGCTAGACGACCTGCAACTGTTCCTTCTGACCGATGCCAAAGAGGGCGTTTCACTGTTCGATTACGTGTCTGCCACTACCGTTGCTCCTGCTGGTGATGTTCCTGCTCTCGAACGCTCGCAGTGGCAGACTCGCGATGCTGCTGCACGCCTAGCTATTAGGAACCATCTGCTGATCACTGAGCGCGCGCATTTCAGCCAGCACAAAACGGCAAAGAGACTGTACAACGCTGTAGTTGCGCGCTACTCCTCCCCGGCCACTGCAGCCATAGGTCGGCTCATGCTACCCTACCTGTTCCCCGACCTTTCCTCGTTCACCACTGCTGAGGACCTCATTTCTCACCTCCGCGCTACTGACACTCGCTTTCGTGTCGCCCTCTCAGCCGAGTTCTGCGCCGCAAATCCCCCCCCCCCCCGGATGTACTTCACTCTCTATTTCCTCGTTACGCGCCTCCCTGACACTCTTAGCTCGGTCAGGGACCACTTCCTAGCGCTAGACCCCCCCACTCTCACTGTCGACGACTTCGAGAAGCACCTCCTTGCAGCAGAGAAGAACATCCTCGCTGTAGGTGCTGCTCGTGGTACTCCTCGCTCTCCCCTCTTTGAGGGGTGCTCCCCCTCCCCTCTCACCCCCTCCTACGCCTCCGCAGCTGTTGCTCACGACTACCTTGGTGCTGAGGAGGTCGGGGCTGCTTCCGCTCCTAGTGGGAAGCGTCGCAGCGGCAGGGGTGGCAAGGGTGGCAGGGCAGGTGGGGGCGGCGGTGGAGGTGGCGGTGGTGCAGGCGGCGGGGGCGGTGGAGGTGGTGGGGGTGGTCGTGGGGGTGGAGGGGGTGGAGGTGGTGGTGGGGGCGACGGAGGCACTGGGGGCGGTGGAGGGGGCAGCACCGGCGGTGGGGGAGGAGGGAGCGGTGGTGGCAGTGGTGGTCAGGGCCAGCAGCAGCAGCGTCAGCGCCAGACCCCCACTTCCCAGCAGCTTCTTGACTGGTATGCCAGGCATGGGGCTTCTGGGGGTCTTGGTCGCTGCCCCTATATCATCCGCACAGGTCCCCGCGCTAATCGCCAGTGCACAGGGTTTCACACTGAGCAGCGCTGCTTCGCTCGACTTAGCGACGCCTAACGCGCCAAGTTTCATGATGCTACTGAGTTCCCCAATTGGGCAGACTTGCTTAGGCGTGATGTACCAATCTTTGATCTTGACTATGAGGCTATTCTAGCGTCTATGTATGCATTGTCTGCTAGTGCTGAAGGTGACAGCTACTTGTGTGTGCCGCCGGATCCTGGTATAGCCCCTGGTATAGCCCCTGCAGCACTAGGTGCCTGTGAGTCTGCTCCCCTTCGTACTACGCCTGCACAGGCCTTGCACACCTTTACACTTGACTCTGGTGCTTCCCGCTGTTTCTTTCGCGAAAGTACCACAGTCACTCCCCTTCCTGCACCTGTCCCTGTCTCACTGGCTGACCCCTCTGGGGGCCCAGTGCTTGCACGGTCTTCCACTGTGCTTCCTTGACCGGCGGTCACGTCTGGTGAGCTGTCTGGTCTCCACCTCCCCTTGTTCTCTACGAACTTGGTGAGCAACGCTGTCCTCCAGGATGCGGGTGTTGACACCTTCACCCCTGGCCGACAGCGTGTGGCGATCTGCACGTGCTCCCAGACCGGCCGCCATCTGGCCACGTTCACCCGTGCGCCAGGGTCCAGTCTGTACACCCTCACCACTGAGTCCTGCTTCACCCCTTTGTCTCCCCAGCTGCACGCGTCTGCTCAGGTACCTACCCAGTGTGAGTGTCGCCGGCTGTCTCACGACACCCTCCTGTGGCACCACCGCCTGGGACACCCCTCCTTGCCTCGCCTTCGTAGCATGCACTCTCGCTTTCTGGTTTCTGGTCTTCCCTGGTCTCTGCCTGCCCTCCCTCCCTCGCCTACGCCGCCCTGCATTCCTTGCGTCGAGGGGCGGCAGCGCGCCGCTCCTCACTCCTCCTCGTTCCCTCCCACAGAGGCTCCACTGCAGACTCTCCACCTGGACGTGTGGGGCCCAGCCCGCGTCCGTGGACAGGGCCACGAGCGTTACTTCCTGCTGGTTGTCGACGACTACACGCGTTACACCACGGTCTTCCCCTTGCAGCGCAAGGGGGAGGTTCCTGATGTTTTGATCCCTTGGATCCGCGCTACTCGTCTCCAGCTCCGCGAGCGGTTCCAGTCGGACTTTCCTCTCCTGCGTCTGCACTCTGACAGAGGTGGTGAGTTCTCCTCAGACCTCTTGGCCGCCTTCTGTGCGG